TAGAGGTGATCTAATGTCTATATTATTGTAGCAGCTTCTAGTTATTAGTGATCTAACAGCAGTACATTTAGAGGTGATCTAATGTCTATATTATTGTAGCAGCTTCTAGTTATTAGTGATCTAACAGCAGTACATTTAGAGGTTATCTAATGTGTACAATATTGTAGCAGCTTCTAGTTATTAGTGACCTAACAGCAGTACATTTAGAGGTGATCTAATGTCTATATTATTGTAGTAGCTTCTACTTATCAATTGTTTAACAGCACTACAAATGTAAAAAGTAAAAATCAATAGATCGGTAAATAAATGTGAAATATAATTAACTTATTTTTCTGTTTTTAGATGGAATTTAAAAGCAGGTTAGTTTTAGGATGGGCATTAACTGAAACATAATTTTAGAATAGACATTACATTAATTGTAGCATAATTTTGACGTAGACATTAAATTCAGCATAGTTTTAGCATGGACATTATTTACAGTTTCGTTTTATTATTAACTACATCATAATTTTAAATGACATTACTGATAATTCATCATGGTGTTTGAATGTGAGAACTTTGACTATATTAAATGACAACTTTTATGTACAGGTTTTGAAAGATAAATTTTATATATAGCATTTTCAGAATTAGTGAAGCAATTAACATAGTGTTTTCTCTTCCTAACTAAAATTGAATTTACTCTCTTCACTTAGATGAAGAAGAAGATTCACCAATGATACGAGGCTTCTCTGATGATGAACCTCTTGTAATTGCATGAAGAGGAACCACGAATAATGTAATTTTATGCCTGAAGAGATGTTAAAGTTACTGTATTTGCACTTTCAGAACATATCAGTTTAATATTCTCACAGTTTAACCTTTTTGTTTAGGCTGTATTCCAACTTTAATATGCAGCTGCTGAACGTAAATGTCGAGCTTTAGTCACCATTGTTGGAAGTGCTTTCTCCAAGTTAGTTCCAAAAAAATATTATTTACTGTATCTGAAATAATTTAGCTATCCCAAACTGTTGGTTAAAATCATCTCATGTTTAAAAGCCATTAGCTGTCTTACAATACTTGAAAATAGAAATCATAGTTCAGCTTTCTGAAGTTGTTTCTCAGAAGATTTATTTTTCAAAAATATTAGCTACTTCAAACAAGTGTATTTAAAAGAATTTATCTTCTTTATGATAGTGTACAAAACACATTTAATGACCTCATATAAAGATAATAGAACCATTCATCTTAATCATTTATTTCCTGATATCTTTTAGAAGAATATTTAATATTGTCAAAAAAAAACAACAACATGAAATTAATCCAAAATTACTTTTTAAAAGGCATTTATCAGTTGTGGGGTTTCTTCAAAAATCTGTTAACAATCATGGAACATAACTTTAAAAATAACTTAGTTAGCCCTATAGCTGCTGCTTTATAAGAAACCTTCTAAACCTTAAATAACTGCATTTAGGTATGGAATCTGAGAACGAAAACATTTATTTTTTAATAATATCAAAAAAAATTATTTTAAATAAAAATCCTCATTATTAAAATCTTTTTTTTTAACTTGGCCTATTGTTTACTGTCAAAAGAAATATTCTTTTAGTGAAAGGGTACTTTTTTTTGATAAGTGATACGTTTTGCATTTCTTTCCAACTTTTCTTATGGGAGAGATATTGCTACATGCCAGTGACTGCTTATACAGTTCAGCAATATAAAGATGTGGATATTTAACAGTTGTATTTCATAAGTAATGAATCTTATCCTCTGTGATACTGGTCTGCGTGTGAAGATGATGCTGTCAATGAAGTTATGAAAAAAGTGTTTGAGTGAAATTAACAAAAGTATTTGAAATATATTTTGCAACCGGTGTTCTTACATTTTATTGGCAAATTTTCTTCAATGTATAATTGATTATAAAACTGAAAAAATGAGTGTTACATCTAATTCTTGCCTTTCACAAATGGTCTCATTATGTTAAGTAACTTGTATCAATAGGGCTAATTGAGTGTGTGGTTGTGTTGATTAATTCTTGATTGAAAAACATATAGTAGATAGAACAGATTGATTTAACGTTCTATTGCTTTGAAGATTTAAATATTTATGTGTGTTTGTGTAAAGTATTAGATTTTAAGATATGAATTAATAAGTGTTAATCAGATACTGGGTTAGCTGAAAATCTTCAATATTTTATGAAAATAGTTGTAAAGGTTTCCTACTTCATGAATTTCTTGTAGTTAGAAGGTGTTTTCATTTTATTGTCTTATGAATTTAGGATCTTTATGAAAGTGAAAAAAAAAACAGTATACAACTACATAAATGTATATAATCCAGAGTATTATTGTAAAAGGTTGTCCAGGTATTCTGTTTTTAATAAAAATACACTAAAGTCAGTAAATCTGTACACTATATATTGTGCTTATTGAACAATAAATCAATATTTCAGATGTCTTCTTTGTGTCTTTTGGTTCGTAATCAAACTGTTTTGTTCAAATTGAACTTTGTTGAAGGCATGGCTACCTGTAAATTTTAAACACGTGATAACCGTCTTTTGGGGGGGAGGGGGCTTGATCCAACCAGTAACATGGGTAGTTGCACCTATGTGTAATATAATAAAATGGAAATTTCATGCTTAGTTTTTTATTTCTACGTGCTGTGGTTGGGTAATAGATTTTGTGGTGTAGGAAATAGTCTTAAGTAATACTAGTTATTCGTTCTCCCTTCTTTTTTTTTTCCGGAAGGTGTGTATGTTTTGCAGAGTTAAGTTTTTTCTTTACAGATGTATTATCAGTGTCATTGCACAGGGTCTTCTTCAGGTTTTTATTTTTTGGTTTATTAGACTTGGGAATCAAATGCCTTTATATGGGCTTGAAGCCCCTGTCACATGTAGTCTCCTCATAAACCTCAGTGTGTGATCATTCCTTTCTACTATGGAGCTACATCTATCGAAGTTATTTTCTCACTGGACTAAAGGTAAAACATATATTAAAATCACATTTTCAAGAGATCGTATTCTCTATATTAACTCCTGATTTTATAAATCATATTGTCACTGGTAGCTGTATGAGAACTGGTAGAGTAACTCCTGATTTTGTAATTTATTTTGTAACTGATGGCTTCATGAGAATGGTTACAGTAACTCCTGATTTTGTAATTGACTTTGTCACTCATGGCTTCATGATAACTGTTAGAGTAACTCCTGATTTTGTAATTCACTTTGTCACTCATGGCTTCATGATAACTGTTAGAGTAACTCCTGATTTTGTAATTGACTTTGTCACTCATGGCTTCATGATAACTGTTAGAGTAACTCCTGATTTTGTAATTGGCAGCTTGATGATGACTGCTACAGTAACTCCTGATTTTATAATTCACTTTGCCATTGATAGCTTCATGGGAACTGTTACGGTAACATGATTTTGTAGTTTATTTTGTAACTGGTAACTCCTTATTTTGTCACATGCAGTTGAGCTGCATGAGGATTTAAACTCCCACTCCTTCCCAATTTTAGGTATAATACTATTTTCTAATGCTACGTTAGGACCTTGACTCTTCTCCCAACATTACAGATAATATTATTTCAGAAAGTCCAGCTCAAGTCCCCTCCCAGCTTTATAGATGACTGAATGCCCCAACAGGACTTCCATTTTCCAGATTCTTGAAGGTCTGTTAATTGTTAAAAGTCACTGTAACTTTTCATATGTTCAAAGTAACAATAAAACTGCCTTTGGAAATAACTAAAAAATAAGGTGAAATTCAACTTTCGGTTGAATATGAGAAACGTGTAACGGGAATAGGAATGCTTGGTGAGATGACGATTAAAGTATACCCCGAGTTGTTTGACGACGCAGTGCTCTATCATACTTTTATGAGATGACGATGAAAGTATACCCCGAGTTGCATGACGACGCATGACTTTTGTTTTACTTGAATTTGCCTTTTTTTTTTTCGCCCGTATTCAAGGCGTCAAGATTTTAAACTGTAACCAACAATTAGGAAAACTTCAAAGAATGTAACGCGTGTTTGTTGTGACTTGCGTTGTCATGGAAACGAAGCGGCCACCTTCCGAGAAATCGTCGCACGCAGTAGCGATTTCCGTGATGATGGCGCGCGCCTATTTGTACTTTAGTTCTCGGTTAATGCTGTTTTTCCATATCTGTTGTCTTCTGTGGAATTCTTCTTATGTAGAAGGCAGAGTTGTGTCGGGTGAACTAGAGTCGTCAGAGGTAAGTACTGCTATTTAAAAAGTACGAATCGAATAAACGACTGGAGATTAGAATAAGTGCCAGACCGACAAATAGAAGAATAAGGCACAGTGTAACTATATGACGCTTTCTTAGTAGCTAATTAGCTATAAGAATGTATAGGATATGTTGTGTAAAAGGGAAAAACACACCAAAATAGTTTACAATTTTTTAATTGGTAATATAAACCTATTGAGGCATAGTCATAAAAATCGGGCAGGGATGCTCTGTAACGAACAATAACAAACGCTAACAGTGTTGAAAATAAGTAGTAATAATTACAGATTCAAATAAAATTGAAATGAATGTGTTTGAAGAGAGAACGAGAGCGTAGTGGGTGAACGTACATAGGGAGAGAGTAAAATCAGAATAAAATATGAATGTTAATATACTATGTGGGTGAAAAAGTTATTTATAGTGGAGAAAGAAAACAGTAAGATCAGGCAAAAATATGAATGGTTAATATATACAGAGTCTGATTACATTAAAACGATTTCGGAGCCTCGTTATAGTTCATGTCACTACGTCCGGTCATGCTCTTTTTTTTTGACGATAGCCTTGCAGCATATGTAAGGCTGTCATGCTCAAATCACACCACTTCTGTATGTTGAGTGATTTCTATAATCCAGCTAAAGTACGAGGACGACGTTTTCAACAGTCTGACAGCACAGAAAATACAGGCAGTGCAACCGACGACGTGAATGGCATTACTTCGTATGGAATTTCATGAATATCCATTTAATCTTCTAGCTGCTTGAGGTATGGGTCGGTGGAACGGATGTGTTTAGTTGATTTTCAAGGCGGAGATCCTTCTTGATTATTCTGCATATTGTTGCCTCTAGTCTTTGTGAATTATCACGTGCTACAAGACGTCACACTTTGTTTACCACAGCTGTGGTACGACTTATTACAACTATATTTCTGGATGGTCCTAGTGAGCCAAGTTGATCCATATTATTTTATTTTCCAACGCCATTAGGTATAAAGGATATTTACGTCTTCGAAATTTTAAATCCCTGATATGAACACATCTTTATGATATGGGTGTATGAATATTTGATGTCTTCACAGTTTTCGATGTCATCGCACTACTTGTCAAATGTACTTTGACACATTCTGTTCCTTCGCGACATTATATCTGCTGTAGTTGTCACGCAATTTGGTGATTTAAATATTGAAAATCGTCTTAATATAACGTACTCAAACGTCCGTGAGAAATAATAACAATAGGAAATGTATTAGATATTTTAGTGTTGTTGATTGAGGACATTATTAACATAAATTATATTTAGGGACAACAAGGAACCTATTGGCCCATCTAGGCTGTCCAATCCACTAAACTAAACTAAAACTACAAAAAAGTTTTCAAAGCCAACCCTTATTATTTATATATTTGTCAAGCCTTCCAATAAGCTCACTTAAATTTTCTGCCTCTACAACATCCAAAGGCAACCCATTCCAAAGACCAACTACCCTGTTAGAAAAATAGAACTCTTAGCTGAAGATGACTCCTACCCTACCAAAATTTATATTTATGTCCCCTAGTTCTACCATTCTCACCTTTAAGTATGAAAAAAAGATGATGCATCAACACTATCAATTCCTTTTAAAAATGTAAATACCTCAGTCAGATCCCATCTAAATCTTCTTTTCCAAGATATAACAATTTCAGAGATCTTAATCTCTTCTCTTATGACAAACCCCTCCATCCCAGGCACCATTCTAGTAACTTTCAGAGATCTTAATCTTTCCTAGTAGCTCTTCTCTGAACCCTTCCCAACAATTCAATGCCTTTTTTAAGGTAAAGAGCCCATGACTGAACACAATACTCCAATTGTGGCCTAACCAGTGACCTGTACAATGAAATTATAACCTCTTTAGGCTTGTGTTCAGTATTTCTTTAGATCAACCTAAACTCCTATCTACCACTAGCAACAGCACGCTCATTAGATGGCTTGAGAGACTGATCGGCCACTACACCAGGATCCTTTTCTTCCATAACACTGTTAAGGTTATTACCATCCAAATTATACTTATAATTCAAATTATGATAATCCACATGCATTGTCTTGCATTTATTATAATTAAAACCATTTATTCGCCCAACTCATTAAATGGTTTAAATCCTTTTGTAAATCAGCATCCTCCTCACAGTCAGCAACATCCAAGACATTAATATCATCAGCAAATTTAAATAGTTTATTAACCATTCCTTCGTCCAACAAGAATTGTGTTAGATACTTTAGTTTTATTGTTTGAGAGCATTATTACAACAGGAATTGTGTTATATTGTTTGAGGACGATATTAAAATACAAATTGTATCATACACTTTACTATTATATTGCTTGAATGTTGGTTGTTTTTCATTTTGTCTATCATTTCAACCATGACAATATTTCTATCCTCATTCTTTATCATGTTTAGTTACATGTTCTACATGCATGTATGTTTTTCTAATTGTTTCATCAGTACAAATTTTGATGATGTATGGGGCTTGAATACAGGTAGTTTACATTTAGTATGGACAACGTGGCAATTTTAGTATCAAGTACAGTTCATGTTTCTATCGTTAGTCTAAGACGCAAAATAGAGAATATCATTCTGAAGTGTACAGCACCTGAGTGGTCGACACTAATTACTCTGAGTGTTAAACTGCTAGTCTCCAGATGGCGCTCTGGTACAACGAGAGGGGATAAAAAATGCTGTCTCTTTCCTGGGAGGTTTTAAAATATCAAACCAGATTCTTTCCGAAAAATATGATAAAGCTCAAACGTATAAAATGTAATAAAAATTCAGACGTACAAAGTGCATAAAAATTATTATTTCCTACGTATACTCAGTATAGAAGAAAATGTAAAAGAAAACAGGAGAGGCGAGAAAAGAATAATTCGTTCTCTTATCTTAATAAAATGAATTTATGAAATACATATTTTATTTTACAAAGTGAACTGTGTAAAGTATTTTTGCATACAATCAATAATGTGAAACTAAACAATATACTAAAGCATCATAACCCAATACGTCTGTATCTGTCTGTTCGTTATCTAACTCTCCTAGGTCGCTGGGCCAATCTCAACCAAACATTGAATGATGATAGTTTGGAACAAAAGGCGTGTTGATGGGGAGTTCACAACCCCCTCCACCCCACTATTGCTGTTATTGAGCATTTATTATCTTTGACGTAAGTTAACGTTAACTACATTCAT